CGGCAAGCCCCTCATGGCGACTTGTGCGGGCCCTTCAGTCTCTGGAGACAGAGGCGGAGGCCTGAAGGGTGTTTTCAAACACAGAGGCTTTTTTTCACGATCCATTGCGGGGCCCTCCCGTAGCGGAAAGCGCTCTCCCCGGGCGCAGTCCTGGTGGGAGCCTGTTCCAGGAGCGAGGCGAGGGTCAGTGGTTCCCAGGTCTTGGGAGTCGACTTGTCACTCCCTGACTTCTTGGAAACTGTAACGAAACAAGAGACCTCGCTGGTGACTCTTCCCAGAGGGTCTTGGAAAACAAGGTGAGGCTTGAAAGACCTACGTGGAGGGGCCAGAAAACTGACTTGGGAGATTTTGGAGCCGGCTACCATCCCCGGAACTGCTTTATAATTCTGGATTCCTTCCCTTTGTCAAACGCCAGTTTGAAGCACACCGACAGTTTAGAGCGACCCCTTTATCATCCTACCCTTTCACGACGGAATTCCTCTGCAACATTTGGACACTCGTGCAATTTGCAAAGATGAGGCGCCTTCACTAGTCTATTCTGTTCCTTTTTCCTAAAGTGGATGTTGGTGTCCAGCTCTCTCGTCTGAGGGTAGCGAAGAAAGTGTATTCTACCTTTGGTTTCAGGGCCACTTTATCCAGAGTCCCTCAGCCGGTTCTTTAAAAGCTACCATTGTGAACTTTCTTAAACCCTTCCCTCCGCACTTCTTAGCTGCCATAGCCCTTAAGTGGTAGTAAATTTGTTTTCTTTGCCCTAGATCACCTTAGCTCAGTTTGTCTCCTAACCAGCCTTGATGCCCCCACCCCCAGACCAATCTCTGTAATCTTTATTTGGATGCCCTGTAAACATGGACTGTAAGAAGTAATGGCGAGCACCTTCTTTTGCTTGAAGTGATGACATTGTTTCAAGTTCACTGCAGGTCCTTTCTTTGTTTAGGAAAAGCCAGTGAGAGGCCCTTTAGATACATTAGTAAAAATAAGTATCCACCTATTCTTCTTGATGTTAACTGTAAATTCACCATAAATCTAATGTATGTTGCAGACTGAGATATTAAGTATTCTGTTTAGAAATGAGCACTGGGTGTATCCTTAACAGGTATTAACCTTACAATTTTAAGAGAAATTCTATTCTACTTTAAATTCTGGGGAAAGTCTTTCCCCAGTATGGATATAAACTGGACTGTTAATAGCCTATGTCTGGCGTCATTAAAGATTTAACTCTGAGTTTACTAGCCATATTATTAACTATTATATTTGTTTTATCTGGCTTACAAAGTTCAAACTTCATTTTCAGGTGGCATTTACCTTAAAGAAAATAGAAGCTCCTATTTACTTACTTTGGAGCTGAAAATAAACAGATTTTGGAAAAGGAACAACCCTTTTCCCCTTCCCTGGGATGCTGGGAATCTAGGTAGTGAGCCTGTCGGTAAATCAGAAGATTTCCAAGGATGGGCAAGATTCTGGAGGCTTCCTTGGAAGCTTATAGAAACTAAGGCTGGGTTTGAAGCTGGGCCAAAGAGCAGCCCCTTTTAAGGCAAGAAAAGGTGCTCACTGCTGTTCTTGAGCCTTTCTCCACAACTATGAAGCTTTAATATAGCTTGGTGTTGGCTGGATACGGGACTTCAGAGAGGCAGCAGGTGGGTGTGGGGTGCAAACAGGCACAGGAAGAGCTGGGAAGCCAGTGAAGGGAGCGTATACGATGCGCTCACACCTCTGGAACAGTGATGTTTAGAGTGAGGATGGCTGGCAGAGGTGTGAAGCAATCACAAGGCTGGCCTTGTAGAACTGGTAAGTACACTTTCAGAAGATTCAGAAATTGCTTAGCTATTTCCCTAGGGAAATAGTTTGTTTCCATAGGGAAAACGAACCTTATCTTGAGACCATGAACTGGTTTGGAGACCTAATCATTTATACTACTCATTCACAAATGTGTATTCAGTAATCGGAAATCTTTCAGTGGGTCCCATTTGCCTGGGGGAAAACACTGAGCTAGAACTTTTTTGAAATTTTAGGATCTAAACAAGAGCTAAAAGTTCACTACTGGGGCCTGCCTGGTGGTGCAAGGGGTGAAAGCACAGCACTATGAGCTCTCTGCAGCCACTGCAACAGGAGTCTGATCCCCAGCCAGGGAGCTGACCCACAGGGCACAGCAGACCTCTCCTGACCTCCCCTGTGCTATTCCCCTCAGCAGTGTACTTCAGCACATCTGCCTGTTCTGTTCCTCACTCTGTCTCTGGTGAATCCTCTTATCCCCTGTACCTCTGGTCTATACCCCAGTACTTACATGCATAAAAAAGTAAATCTTGGCCCTCCCTGGTGGCGCAGCGGGTTAAAGCACAGCACTAAGAAAGTTCATTTAGTAGATTTTAGAGCAGGACTTTAATGGAACCCATCAGAAGTCAGTTATAGCTCAGATTTCAGGGAAGTCTACTCACTGGT